ATTTTCTATTTAATCCATTTTTCTTTCTTTCAGGAAACCAGTTATTTGAAGAACATCACATTGGATTTGGCAAATATCCCAGACGTTTTTCTCAATTTTTTTAAAATTTATTTACCTTTTCTTTTTGTTATGCCATGGTAATGTTATATTTTCCTTGGTAATGTCATATTTTAACTTTAAAGCAATTTCCATGTAATCCCATGTTTAGAGGTGTTCATTACTGCATTGTTGTCTGTAAATAATTTTTTGTTTCCTTTTCTTTGAAGGGTCCAGCAGTTAGAAGATCCTGCACAGAACATACAGCAGGTACATATAAGCTAGTGCTAGAAAGGAAATAGAATGGTTTTCTATTGAAACTGTCTAAGTACAAATAGACAGTAGATAAATTGTGGTGTCAGGTTCAAGTTGTAGTGTGAAGACTATATTATAATAAGTAATAAGACCAGATAAGTGTGCAGATGTTTTTATCACTTAAGGAATGACTTAGTCACAGTATATAATTTCTGTGATCTATGTTTCTGATCAGCTTTAAAATATACAAAATCAGCTACAAAATCATACTCTCCTGTTTCTATCTTGCAGATTGGACCTCATGTAAGGAAGGAAGCAGAGCTTGGTCCAGGAGAAACTGACTGGGGAGGAACCGGACTGACCTGGACCCAGCCATCCACAGAACAATACAGCAGATTGCGACCATTTCTAAAAACACTTGTACCATTCTGATTTCCTTCCAGTACGTAAATATTAGATCCGTATGTTAAGTTGCATTGTATATGTAAGAAATGTATAGTTTTTTTCAATATGTATGTTTAGCTTCCAGTGTATGGAAATATTATGTATGGATTTATAGTATATGTTACATGTTTGTTTTATGTATTATGCATGTTTAGTTTTGTAGTACTTTATATAAGCCAAATTGTATAGTCTCCATTTTTTTGCAATTAGAGTTTAAAATGTATAAAATTTCATCAAAATTATTATCTACATACCTGCAATAAGATTGTCAAATAAATGTACCATATTTAAGTAAAATGCTATCCAAATTCAGAGTACTTGTAATTTTCAAAAGGGTAACAAGATTGTAAGAGAACTGTAAGGTTTAAAAAAATTGTTTAATTAAAGCTGTCAAGATGGATTCAATGTGTACATGACTTATACATGCATCTTTCCTCTTAATTGCAAACATGATGAGAGTGTGTGCTGATTGAATCATTTTTAACTTCATCCCTGGCCTTACAAGGGCAAAAACATTATTCAAATCCCCCAGTTAATGTTACTCTATAATCTTATACCAGTAGTTAAAAGTTAGCAATATAAGCAAAGTATGCTTCCACCCATTCTTCCCCAATAAAGGTATAAATGGTAGGTGACTCCATCCTGAGGTAAACATCTTGCATTTGCTTGCAAATGTTACCTTTCTAGTTATACTAGTATTATCATATAGCCTGGCTACATCTACCAATGAGATGCCTCCATTTCCCATCTATAAGGCCATTTATGAGGCCATAACATCATAAGTCGTGAATAATGAAAAAAAAGTTGTCGGTTATTAGAATAACCAACCACTTCTGGGGCATTATACAGGGGACAGGACACTAACATTAGTATGAAAAATCTGTGTGTGTCATCTGGGGTTAAAGTTTATACACTTTCAAAAGTGTATTCATCTAACGTCTTGCAGATTTTTAATTAATGGAGGCTACAATTTTTTTTAACAAACTGGTACATTTACTGTACAATACTAGCACCTGGTTTACACAAAAAACACTTAAAGTGTCACAAAACATCTTCCTCTGCCACCGCCCGCGCGGTGGTGTTTTGAGTTCTGTTTACACACACAGCGCGAATCGTTTTCCAAAACGCTGTAATGATCCAGGACATTGTAGTAGGGGCATGTTATGCGCCCACGCCCGCTCCTGTTGTTGTTCTCCCTTACTTTACGATATTGGCACCTTAGGTTGCGAATCTTGCTCTGTATCTGCTTTGAGGATCCCCGGACCTTTCGTATCCATGATCCCTCTTTACCCATCTTTACCATGACCATATTGTAACCTTCTCGGTTTCTTGCAGATTCCAGCTTGTTCTGAATCTGTGTTTCCGCCCATATGCTTATCAGACACTCAGTTTCTGCAACCGACCACAGTCTACCAGGGCCGCCCTCGGGAACCATATAAAAAGTAAGCAAACAAAAAAATTCTGTGACAGCGCCCGGTGCAGCGGACAGAACGAAAATGGCGCGATTTGGCTCATTAGCATATAAATAGCATATGACCCCTGACCAACCTCACCCAGCGAAACATTTTCGAAAACGCGATCCTGTTTACACCCTAAACGCCGCGTTCATTGAGCTGTTTCAAACGCATTTTGAAGTTGTTTTGAAACACTTCGCCAGAAATTCCTGTTTACACGGGGGGAAATAAGCGTTTTAGGAAACGTTTCTAAATACGCGTTTTCGGGAACGTTTCCGAAAACGCTAAATTTGTGTGTGTGTGTGTGTGTGTGTGTGTGTGTGTGTGTGTGTGTGTGTGTGTGTGTGTGTGTGTGTGACTGTCAGGCTACTCTAAACACGTACACAAACCCCACCGACATGTTTTCAGTTCCACATATGTCTCCCAGGCACGAGATTTGGAAAGTGTAGTTGTGCCCAATATCTCTAAAATGTACTATAACTTTGTTATCGTTGTTTTCTGAGTCTGGGGAGGCAGGGACTTCACATCGAACGTGATTCTAAGTCACATTTTTGCTGCCACCCCAGTTGGTAACGCAGTTCACGGGTAGGTGTGTTTCCTATACCCTGTCATCTTTTTGAAGTTATCACCGCTAGCGCTAGCACCGGCTTGGAGTTCTATCGAGTCGAGCAGCGATTTTGCGAACGCGTTCGAGTTTGCGAAACCTGTTCTATTCCCGTTGGCCTTTGCACTATCTAATCTCCTAACCATGAACGCCGATGTAACAGCTGAGTGATGAGTGTGCTTTTTTTGTATGATTCATGAGCGGACCAAGTACCCAGCAGTATGTATTATATATGTATGGTTCATTGTACGGAGAATTTAGGGAAATTTTTCAACGGACCGTGTTCACGGTGTTATGTGATGAGTGTATGATTCTCGGGAATCTTTCGACGGACAGTGTTCACGGTGTTATGTGTTGATTGCATGCCTCTTCGGAACCTTTCGACGGACCGTGTTCATAGTGTTTGTGTTCAGTGTATGATTATCGGGAATCTTGTACGGAGTGCACAGTATACGTGTGTTCATAAAACAAAGCAACAGCGATGTCAACAAAAACTCGGTGGCCTATCGCCCATGGTGTAATACGGCTAGTTATCACACAGGCCGACATCGAACGTCATCACGGCACAGGTATGACATAAATACTGGTATTTCACGGAGATTTTTTTTATTCCAACATGTAATCACCAGACGTGGTGACGACACACTCAAGTTTTTTCAACTTATATCAATGCCGCCACCAATACGGGACAAATACATGACAAGACAATACTCATTTACACCTGAGCGAAGTGAGGAAAGTCGTGTAAAGTGCCTTTCCCAATTAAGAGCACAAGATCGGTGGCATGTCAGGACTCGAACCCGGGACTCTTAGTTCTACTACCAGCCACTGGGAGAAGGTTCCGGAGCGGAACTTTCCCACCCGCCGCGGGGCCTGCACAGGAGGCATGTACTTCAACGCCTACGAGTGTAAACACTGACATTTGGCACGAGTTTTGGGGGCAAATCCTAACCATTATTCCCACAGTCAGGGTTTTCAGGGTGCTCTGCGTTTCGTGGAAGAATAGGAAATGACTTGAACCAAAGACAAAACCAGCACCTTGCAGTACATGGCACATAAGTGAAGGAAATGGCGGGAGTAAGAAGTCTTTTCCGCATTGTCCTGGGTTTTCTGTGGATTTTGGAGAGTCGTGGACAGACAGGTAAGATGTTACTGTTGTCGGGTGGTAGAATGACATGTAGTTATAACGTTACTGTTTTGTTCGTTTGTTTGAACCATTCTTTATTCAACAAGGGCTATAAGAATCATTACGCTATGAGCCAGAGAAAACCTGTGATTGTAAAACATTCAACTCAGAAATCCATTTCCCTCTTGAACAGAATAAGCCTCTGATTATTTAGGAATGAGCGAAGACCTTTAGTGTACACAAATACCCACTGGGTGAAGTACAGGTCACAACAAAACAATAGTATACATATAACGTTACAATAGTATACATTGTCAAGAAACTACATGTACAACTTATTCAGTGCAACTTCTCGCTTCACTAAGAAGGATATGTTTTTGGGCCCATTTGTTTGTGTTAATGTATGTGTGAACACAGGTGACACCCGAGTTAGGATAGAGTCATGTTACTGTCGTCTGGTGGTAGAATGGAATGTACTGTAAATCCTGAAATGTTCGTGGTGGTTTTATTTTCGCATTTCCATCGCTAGTTTGTCAGTCCTGTTTGCGCCACGTTTAACGGAGAACGATAACGTAACGCGGCGATCGCGCGGCGATAACGATGGCGCAACGCGGTAACGCAGCTTGAGTATTGACCCCAGGCCGCACGAATGCGTTATGGTCTCGGACCGGAGTTTTTTTCACGATTTTGGATCCGGCGGACACCCTCAGACCGAAGGGCTATAACTCCGCCAAAAAAAGTACGCCGGGAAATCTCATTACATCAGTCAACGGAGGTTTCCAGCCGGCTTCCGATACAATTTTGGTTATTGTCCGTCGACTCTATAATTTGAAACTGTAGTTAAACGTAAATTTTGGATACGAAAAATGTAGTTTTTTTGCAGTTTTTTCAACGGACCTGCTTGGAAAAAACGAATTTTCCCAGGCTAACGGCTTATATGCTGAAATAGCTTACTACTTACTGTTTCTGAAAAACAGAAAAAAAATATAGGTTGTTGCGATAAGTTTTTCGCAAAATCCGGTGACGCGAACCCCTAGAAATTCCACATAGAACGCAGCTATTTGGGTCATCAGGCGACAAACCGCATCACCCTTGCTCGCGGACTAATACCAAAAACGCTTCGCTGGCCGTCCAACTTCACCGCGCCGAAAAACACTACAATCCCAAGGCTTTTTGATGAATTCAAAACCTAGTTGAAAATCTACAGCGATCGCCGAGCTATGGGGAGCCAAACCTAGCGTGACAACCTCGCTCGCAGATCCGGCGATTTACTGCGCACTATTTGGAACCCTGGTCAGAATTAAACTCCGACCCGGAACCTTAAGGAGATTATTTTTCATAAAAAATTATCATAATTCTTCAGAAACATCATATCTATCATATATCCAAATTTTACATGTCTGCGATGAGTACTTTTCCCGCGGCAGAGGTTTAAAGTCATGTGAAAAATGCAGTGTTCTAAGGCTATATTGCCAAGTCTCGGGTCCCAGGCAGCGTCACAATGGGGCAATTAGAAAAATACCGTTATTTCAAATGTAACTCGTCGGATTACCCAGTTCTACTCTTACATATACTTTAATAATACTATAAAGAGTCAGAATGCTCGACCACACGGATACTGTGTTCTTGCGTGACAGTACAGTTTATTCAGGACAACAGAATATCAACGATCAACAGTTACTGGGCATTAACAATTACTAAAAGGACATAAACGATTACTAAATGGACATTGCGTTGTGTAATAGACAAACGTTAAAACTTACGTCGTGGAGACGGCAAACTACAGGAACACACTGGAAACACGGGCACTGACTCAGGGCTCAGGCTGAAAACTGCAACTCCCTAAGTAGGGAGTTTGCCTCCCTTTTATCCTGTCAAACTTACTGAGTCAGGCATTCCTAGTTTCCTGGAAGGCGTAAGGATTCCTTACCCAAATAAGGTCAGGGGAATTTCCTTAACACATGGAAGTCCTTAGATAAGAGGAGTCTCCTGTAGTGAGCGCCTTTCCGAGAAATTGGTTGTGTTTCCCTGACTTCAGCAGAACTACATCTGGTTCCAATTCATATACATTCTCTTATGCAACTCGGCAAAACCATATGTTCTCTAAATACATATTTCTATCTGTTACACAAACATCGCTTTTCTCAAAACAGTTATAACGGAAATAAAAGTCTGCTCTGGATCTTGGCTATGGATATATGTGTTCTTTTCGTGAT